CAGCAGCACAGCTGCTGCTGCTGCTGCTGTTGCTGCTGCTGCTGCTGCTGCTTGTATGAGTAGAGCGCAGGGCGATGTTTATTGATTTAGTTTGTTCCTTGTCATGCATAATACGACGACTTTACTTAATTACTTTTATTTCTGTTGCTGCTTCTCTTTCTTTGATTTCTTTTATTCTTCTTTGACGGGAGATATCGAAAAGAAAACTCTTTCTACTTCTTTATTTTATTCAATTTAATTTAATTTTATTTTATTTTGTTGCTTGTATTTGTTGCGTTGCTCTTTATTTGCGTTATTCTATATATTTATATTTACTTGTTTGCAGACAGCACTGGCTATGCTTAGATTCGTCGTAGATAAAGAAGAAAAGAAAGAGCATCAGACAAACATTTTATTTCTTTTTCTGTTTTTGTCTGTTCTTCTGCTTACTTACTATATACCCTTTTAAGTGTATTTGTGCGGGGCTTCTTCTCTCTATCAGCACACTCATAAACAAATAAATAAGTAAATAAATAAATAATTAACTATATATATATATATCTTGCTAGTCAGAAAGAAAGACTAAGTGTACTACTTTCTTGTGTTTGTCTTCGTTGTAACTATAACGACGGGCAAACATTGTTAAGGAATACATATTTCTAATAAATAATAATAAAATAAACTTTTAAAATAAATAACTACTAAGGAGTTAAACAATTTTAAAGACAAACAAAGAAAAGAAATAAAACAAAATCTGTCGCTCGATTTGTCTCGAAGACAGCAAAGAGAGAAAAGACGAAGAAAAGATTTTACCTCTACAGCAGAATCCTTTTAAAAGCAATAAAATAAATAAACAAATAAATAAATAAATAAATAAATAATGTCGTATTAATATTATAATGAAATATACAGAATAGCATTATTTGCTTGTTTATAAGATATCTTCATTTGCTGCTGCTGTTTTCATTATATTGTCTTGTTGTTTTGTTTGAATATTTTGTTTCTTTTTATGTTCTATCTGCATAACCGCAATCTTAATAACATTATAAATGAGAGGGAGAAGCCAGAGAAGACAAACAAATTGTGTTTCCTGTAAGAAATATAAACTTTTTCTTTTATGAAAGCTGTCTATACACCCCGCCACAACAAATGCTATTAAAGACGCAGGTAAAGTCAGGCTATATGCAGCAGCAATACGTAGCCAACGCATCTCTATTAGAAGTATACCCTCTAATGCTGAAGCAAACGGAACAAATAATAAAGCAATAGCTGAGCATACACCCGAAACCTTTACTGCAAAAGCTAAAGAAGGATCTGCTGCATTTAAACGGCCTCCAACTGCACGCGCAGCACAACACAAACAAACACAAAAAAAACAAATATTTGTTTGTCTACTAATTACAATAATAGTACTATCAAGTGCTGTGCAAACAAGCAAAAGAAGGTAAACATCAACTGCATTTGTAACACCAACAAATAGATTTATACATATACATATATATATATATATATATACTACATATATAAATAAATATACATATATATATATAGATATGTATATATGGCGAAATATAAAATATATTTAAACAAATAAAACTGCAGTTGTTTCTGCAATTAACGAATTGATTTGTGACATTAAACATGCTCGTCTCAGTCGTTCAAACAAAACGAAAAAAAAAAGAAGACAGAAAGAAGAAAAGATAAAGGTTTGCCTATCTGCCATGCTAACAAGGAATAAATAAAAAATAAAAAATAAAAATAAAATAAAAGAAGATAAAATACAAGTGAAGCGAGCCCGACAGAAACTATGCAAAGTAAAATTGAGCAAAGCAAAGCAAAGCAAAGCAAAACAATAATAATGAAGTACTACTAATAATAAAACTAACAATAAATAATAATAACAAATCAGTAAAACAAAAAAACAACAAACACCGCCACTTCTTACAGAATGCAAAGGCAGAAAAAACAATAAAGGAACAGTAATAGAGTACGACTCACAATGACACAAGCATAATTTAATAATAAAACAAACAAAATTAAAGATAATAGACTAAACCAGCAACAAACACTGTCTCTTCTTACAGAATGCACAAGCAGCAAGCTGAGCAGCAGCAGAGATTCCTGCAGTAACAGCTGCAATTTGAAAGATATATTTCCTAATTTGTTTTCTTTTGTTTATTTTTGTTTGCTTATCATTCGAATTAAATTCAAAAGATCGCCTCGCCATTGCTGCATTTATTATTTGTGCAAGTGCATCCGAAGGCATTCCTATTACGGTGTACAGACCCGCTACAAGCTGCAGCAGAGGGAAAGAAGAAAAAAATAATAAAAGACAATTAAGAGCAGCAGCAACAAAAATTAAAAACAAATAATATTAAACACCAGCAGCAATTAAATAGAGGATTGTTACACCCGAACAAACAAATCGTGTTCAGGTGTACATGCAGATTATTTTATATTGAATATTACCAGTTTGCTTTGTTCTACTATTTTATTTTATTTTATTTTATTTCGTTTCATTTCATTTTGTTAGCTGCCTATACACCCGAGTAAATAAACAAATTTTAAATTTAAATTTATATTTTCTCTTTCTTTTTATACCTGGTGCGCCGCCATTCCTTTGGGTCCCCAAAGCGATGCAGCTTTCGTCATTGAAGAATACAACATTAATCTGGTGTAGAACAAAAGAATAAAAAACGAAGCAAATAAAACAATTAAACCCACTGAAGCAATTGTATTAGTAAAACGAGTTAAACAATTAAAACGATAAAACAGATCATTATGCAAACAATCAGAAGAAAAGAAAACAAATCCACAAACAATTCACAATTAAATAAACAATCAAAAAAGGCAGTTAAACAACCGCAGACTAAACGATTAAAACAACTGAATTAAATAAAATCATTAAAAACAACTAAACAGACATAAAAACAATTAGATAAACAATTCACAACTACGAAAAGCAAACCGGCAGCAAAATACGCAACTAAATAGTTAAAACAACTAAACACCAGAATAAAAACAAGCAGATCAGCTGCACAAGTGAGCGCAATGACGAAGAAACAAAGGAACAGCCAAGGACCTGAATTACAAGAAACGAGCAGCAAAAAGAAAATAAAAAAGAAGCAAAAAAGACAAACCCCAAATAGAGCAGCACGCGAATGATAGCAGCACAATTTAAGGTTTAAGCAACAAGCTACAAGCTAAGAAAGTTCAGGTGTACGTACACCTCAATTAAACGCACCTAACACAACACTGCGTCAATATGGGCATCAGAAAAGGCCCAAAGAGAGACACTTCTGCTGCAGATGGTGCGCGGTATAAAACAGAAAAAAACCTCAACCCCCTCAGCAACTTCTGCTGCTGCTGCTGCGGCTGTTGCTGCTGCTGCTCTGCGTGCTCGCTGCACCCACCAACAGCAGCAGGAGAAGCAGCAGCAGCAGCTAGCACTGCTAGCCTCAGCAGCAGCAGCAACGCAACGACAATCTGCACGGTGACAACTGTTCCTGCTGCTGCCTCGATGAAGGCATCAACAGCAGCAGCAGCAGCAGCACCGGCAGTAGCACCATCAGCAGCAGCAGCAGCCGCAGCAGCAGCTCTAGTAGAGAAGAAAAACAAAGCGGGAGCAGCAGCTACTGCTGCTGCTGCAGTTAGCATCTGAGGTGCAGCATCACCAACACCAAGCAGGGCCCCTCTAGCAGCCATCGCAACAACGCAGAAAGGCAGAGACAAGCACCGCACCCGCACGAACTTAAACGCCAGAGACAACGTGTCTTGCTGCTGCTGCTGCTGCTGCAGCCCTCCTGCTGCTGCTGCTGCTGTTTTTATGCTCAAGAAGAAAGATAAAATGTCTTCGGCGCCGAAATACAAACAAATCGTCAGCCCCAAACCAAGTACACCTGCAACCGCAAAAAAATCAGAAAACACACACAAATAAACCCTAAACCCTAAACCCTAAAGCCTATACTCTAAAACGTATACCTAAACCCTAAACCCTAAATCCTAAACCCTAATTCAGTGTTTTTCTTACTGGCGAGCCAAACCCCTACAGCAGCACTTCTGAATGGGCAGAGCGGCGCTGTGAATGTTTGCTGCTGCTGCTGCTGCTGCTGCTGCTGCTTTACTGTTGCAATCGTTGGTGCTGCAGCTGCTTCCTCATCTTCCTCCTCCGCATCGGCAGCAGCTGCAGCAGCAGGAGCAGCAGCATGCTTGCTGCTGCTGCATATTGACGTCATTGCAACACCTAGAGCTGCTAGCAGGAGACAGAGACCATCCGGCAGCTGGCTGCCTGCTCCTGCTGCACTAACAGCAAGTGAAGCCCCTTCTTTTAGACGAGCAGCAGCAGCAGAAACAAAGAATGATAATAGAGGCTCTTGCGCCCAGGCAAGCAGCACTGAAATCATAGCTCGGAATATTTGAACGCCAAGTGAAGAACAAACAGAAACAGAAAAAAAAGAAAAAAGAAAAGATAATCGTAATGAAGATGATGAAGATGATGAAGGAGAATCAGAGGCATCTGCTGCCGAGACACCGCAGGCGCTGGACTCCCTGCTTCGCTGCTGCATGCTACTGCTGCTGCTGCTGCTGCTGCTGTTGCTGCTGCTGGGAGATGAGGAGCAGCTGACGGTTAAGGAGACAGCAGCTCCTTCAGCCGGGCTGCGTGCATCTTTATTAGCGCCAGTTGTGTACATCTGAGGTGTACGTACACCTGAACTACTCAGCAAGGCAGGTGCTGCAACATCCGAGACGAAAGCAGCCGCATGCACTCGTTCTGCTGCTGCTGATGGTGATGCTACTACTGCTGATGATAGTGGCGGCGCGGAGTACGCAGTTGCTGCAGCTGTTGTTGGTGTTGTTGTTGCTGCTGCTGCTGTTGCTGCTGCTGCTGTTGCTGTGTTTAATAGTGGGGTTGTGCAGTCGTTCGTGTACTCTTCATCTTCGGGGTGTCTGCCTTCTGCAGCATCTGTCTGTTGTCGTTGCTGCGGTGTATATACACCAGCAGCGCCATCGGCGCTCCTCTGAATCGAATGCATAGGGCCTCCAAGCATTTCTTCGCGTGCGCCAGTTGTCTGCTGTTTGCTCCTGCTGCTGCTGTTTGCTTGCTGCTGCTGCTGCTGCAGCTGTTGTTTGTCGGCGCTGCTTGTTGGTTGTTTGTTGCTGCTGTCTGTTTGCCTCTTGTCTCCGTCTGCCTCGCTGTATGGTCTGCTGGTTATTTGCGGCTCAGCATTAGGGACGCTGCTGCCACTAAGAGAAGAAGCCAACTGCTGCTGCTGCTGTTGCTGCTGCGGCTGCTGCAGCTGCTGTTGCTGCTCCTGCCGAAAGGGTTTGTTGTTGTGAGTGTTGGAGGCGTGTCGGCGCGTCTTAGGTGCGCCCCCCGGCGGCATCTTGGGGGTTTAGGGTTTGGGAGAATCTATTTGAGATTGTGAGGGTTCAGAAGGGTTTATTAGGGTTTAGGGTTTAAGCCAGAGACAGCGGCCGACACCTCGGAAGCTGGGTTTGTGTGGTGAAGCGGAGAGGGGGGTTTTGCTGATATCTCTCCGTCAAGGGGTAGAGATGTTAAGGGGTTAAGAAGACGTTTAAAATTTATAAAAAACAAAATCTGCATTGATAAAGCCACAAAGAAGTACAGACAAGGACAATTCAATCTCTCCTGGGGGTCCCGATATGAATGCGATACTCGCAAGGTGGCTGATTAACGGAAACGCGGCGTTATTCATCTGTCTTTTTCTTCTTCTTTGCAGTAAATGAATTTAAATTAAAAAATAAAAAAGAAATTTCACAAGCTCACCAACAACCATTTATAAATAATACTCTTATGCCGCTCCTTCTGATGCATCCGGTGTTTGATTTCGCCTTGTTTTGCACACGAGGTGTCCATACACCTTAAATGTCGGGTGTTCCGGCATCAGAAAAAAATAAGAAATTATTTTTATTTTGTTACTTTATTGCATCTTTAATGCTTGCAAGTTCTACATCTTTAATAATTAAATCTTTACTTCAATCGAAACCGAAAACGCCGACTCCCCTCCCTCTAGCAGCGTCTCACTCTTTCTAGGGTGTCTTGACACCGCAAGAGATGCAAGAACATAATAGAACCCAAATATACTCCACATAAAGAAAATATCCTATTTTTTAAATTGCATCAACTAGGCGAGACTTCTACTCGTTGTGCATGCAGCAATAGCTGTATTGTAAGCCTCCCCCC